CATTGGGGGCTTGCAGCCAGGGTGGAGAGGTGGAGCTTGCAGCTTGCAGCAGCGCAAGCATTCCGGTCCATGTAACGTAAGTTACAGCTTTACGTGGGAGTTATGCGTGATGGCAACGGTCAGCGCCTAATGGGTTTGAGGACCAGCCTGCAAGCATCCCCAGCCGCCATTAGCCAGTTAACATGCATGGCTTCATGACGGAACTGTCTTGAGGAATCAGCCTCTTCATGGGCATCTACTCAGACATCGANNAGAGACAGGGATGCCTTTCTTGGCCACCCTTATGCCTTCCGGCTGTTTTCGGCAGTGGTGACCAATCTGCTGATCTTCAAGATGAATGCAGCGTACCAGCGGTATTGGGAGGCGGGGCTCGGAACCGTCGGATGTATTTACCGCTGCTTCAGGGAAGGCTGGACCCGAATGCCCCCAGTCCCCTTTTCCGCTGTTGTCCCTGGGTCTTTTTCCAGGCTGCCGGAGCCATGCAATCCATGGCCACCAAATGGCTGGACGGTGCGTGCATGGCGGTCACCTTCGATGCGGCAGGCCTCCTAGGGTGTTCGCTACTGTGGCGACGGTGGCGATGACGGTGTTGAGGACCGCCGACGGCGATGATGCTGATGGTCCTGGTGATCATGGTGAGGATGGTGGTGCTGAGTTTTGATGCTGATGACTGTAGTGATGGTTCTTGTGGTACGTAGTGTCGTGGGGGTTGTTATGAGGCTGGTGCTTCCTATGATTGCTGCCCAAGTTGCTGCCAATCAGGCTGATTGCAAATGCATTGACAGTGACCATCGTAGTTGCAGAAGCACTGGTTCTGGCCGCATGGGTACGCGGAAATGCAGTTGTGCACTCTTGAAAAAGAGTTGCAGAGTGGTGAGCCAGGGAAAACAGATCGATACACAGTTCCAGAGTACAACATCAGTAACAACTGTTGTAGAGCATGAACAGTAACACAGACCTCCTCGCAGTTTGTCTGTCTTTCTGGTTGTGGTATTCACGGTAAAACAGCAATCTGAGCAGCGGTATCAGTGGGAGTACCGACAATCGAAATAGTAATGCCATTTTTCGCAGTATCACGTCCGGTTCAATCGTAATAGAATGCTAGGAATAGGTGGCAGTGGTAGTGGTAGCATCAGTGATGATGATACCAGTCACAATAGTGGTCCAAGATAGTTGTTTGCTGGAATTTTTGCCCTCCGTTGATGCTCACTTAGATTATGATCCTGCTGTGTTCGCCCATCATTGTTGGTGTGGGTGGCTGCAGCTTGTTATCCGATTCGTGTCTGACCGCGGGTTCCATGCGTACACACATCGAGGCATACACTCACACACACACACACANNCACACATATGGGGGTTTCTGAAAACAAGGTACCTTATTTTGGGGTCCTTATAATAAGGATCCTAGTCCTAGTATTTAGGATACTATATTAGGGTCCCCTATTTTCAGAAACCCCCATTTGCATGCATGTAGAGGTTTGTACCTATAAAGGTCCACAAAACGCAAATTCGGAGTAGTGTTCATGCAGCCACTGGGCTCGGGGTCCAGTTGTCCGTGTCTGTGAGAAAGGCGTGTCCCTGCGTCTGTCAACACAGGTGATTCCGACAATCCCTACCTGAACGGCAGTGAGTGGCAGAGGACCCAGCCAACTCAGTCGGGGTTTTTGTTGCCAAGCTTTGCTGGCAACAGCTGTATCGGTCGCAAAATACTTAAGCCCAAACTTCTCTGGGTTCTTCTAAGGAACTTAACTTGACTGGATCTATAGTAGATAGTAGGGGTTAATAGGGTTCCCTACTTATGGTAGCTTAGTTTGAATTCCTTCACATGGCTTTTGCAGGAGCTCAGCACCTGATCCCAGCAGTAGCAAGGAGCCTCGGCAGCAATCCTTTTTTTTAGTTTTATATCAAAAGGGTCGGAATAATGAGTAGCAGTATCCCCGTATTATAGTAACTACAGTATCTGTTATATATTTGTACTAGATTAAAAAAATGGGTTGGAATATTTAATTGGTAGTCATGGCGCCTTATAGTCACTATTATGCTATTTGTACCACAACCCTTTTCTAGTTATTAAGGCCCCCTGCATCAGACATCCAGAATCTGGGATTAACTCATTGAACGACATTTGAGTCTGTTTTGTAAGTGTGCAATTGTTCGTCCAGCGTCACCGCTGGATTAGTTTTGCTGACATGTGGAAAGCAATCGTGTACCAATCACGAAGGAAAACAGAGAAAAAACAGTGCACCTAAAATGGCCTTTGCAGGGCGGCCCCGATCACACCGAGTATGTGGCGGATGTCCTGCACCTCTGCAGTCTGCTCCATGCAGTGACGCTTCTTCACCTGCGGAGAGATTCGAATCTGGACAACCTGGTGCCCTCCAAGCTGGGGCCGCGCAAATTGCCTGAAGATGGGAGCGGTAGGGTAGGAGTCGCGTGCGCATGAAACGCGAGAGACGCTGCAAGCAGTATTGTTCTGCACAGATTTCTGGCACACTCTGATCTTTCGTGCATCTATTTGCGACGGTTTTCTGCTGTACGCCATACACTGTACAGTGTTTTGCCTAGTAATATGATATATGGTACATGATATCGTGTGGATAATAATATGCCGAGCTGCCCTAGCCCCCTAAACCCTAAACCCT